ATTTTTACAAATTTAAATACAGGGTGTTCAAAAATTGTACTTTAAATTTTATTCCAAATAAAATTAAAATCATATACAGTTACAATGTTGCAAATAGAAAAACTCTATAAAACTTGTTTCTAGAAGAAAAGTTATATTTCGCGCTACTATATTATCAAGTAACCTTCTCTGTGGCTCAATCTGGCCTCAACAGATGTCGCCCTGCCACAAACTACAAAATAGGTTTCCATCTTGACTAAATTTAGTAATGGAGGGTGTGTGCAGATGTGTGTTGTGAATTTCCTTATCTATGAATAATGAAACATAAATAGCGACCACTTATCATAAAAAAGTGCCAAAATCAGGTAAATTTATCAACTGATAGCAATAATAATAAATTCGTTTTATCTAATCAATATTTGATAAGTTTGCCATGTAGAAATCTAACTTACCCCAACCCAAATAAAGCCCTCTTTGATCACCACCCTTAAAATTTATTATTTGTTAATTAGTTAAATTAATTTTTGTAGTGAAATAAACCCAATTATTTTAACGAGTCTATGAGTAATTGAGCAATTATCCATAAATAAGTCGACGGTTGGTCGGAAATCCGATTCGTTGTCTTATTTTTAGCCCCATGAGTCCCCCCGGGCCAATTCCCGGCCATTCCGGCCCATAATTCCGCAAATTGGGCCTTTTCAAGTACCATACTACCCAAATGGGTTGTGTGGGCGGGCGCTTGCGCCACTTACTCACCCATTGCGCCCATTTACCTGCGTCGCGACGCCCCCCACCCATTCATCACCGTCCAAAAATAAACTCTGACACTGTGTCATACCAATAAATCTCACCATAAACAAACTCTTCGTGTTATTTTCCTCGAATTGCGATTACCATAAATGGTAAGGTGGAACTGCAATCGATTATTCGTTGAAAAACTTGTCACTCAAGCGAAGAGCGGTTACTTGAGGTCAAAGACTACCATCCCCGAGATAAGAGGGACATCTGGGCCTCGTCAACACCGGAAGTGTAAATAATGTCTGGCGCAATGTGTAAACAATAAGATGCAATGAAAGAGATTTTTATTTTGTTACAGAATGGTTGTACACATCACTTTACTCATTGGGGCCCTTTTGGTCGGGATTCAAGGACAGATTCTACAGCAATTTACACAGAATCCGTGCGATTCAAGGTCAACGTGCCATGAGTGCATCGCCACCCCCTCGTGCGCCTGGTGTTACGACACTGTGAGTGGAACACATATCTACAGGGTGGACCAAAAAGTGACAAAAAATTAAAATGAAAATAAATAAAATAGGTCGAAATATGAAAAAAATTYAAATTACAATCATTAAAGAATAACTACCTAAAAAAATGTCAAAATGTGGGAAAAATAAAGATTACAATTATTCAAGAATTTGTCCAAGATTTCTACAATGTGGTTGACGATTTTTTTAATTATTGAATTTTCGAAATCTTGTGTCTTTTGCTTTCTGAAAATTTTTATATTTTAGTCAAGTTTTGGATATATCCAAGATGTCTTAATGTTTTAAAACATTCTAGACAATTTTTTAAGATTCTTCTTTAAAATGGTAGCAGCTTTTAAAATATTTGAAGATCTCTAATGAAAAAGAAAACAAATGAAATAGTTCGAAATATAAAAAAATTAAAATTACATAATTATCTTTTACAAAAAACACTTTTCATGATTTTGAGGGAAAAAAGTCAAAATATTTTAAAAACAAAGATTACAATTATTAAAAAATTGTCTAAGATTTCTACAATGTGGTTGAAGATTTTTTTAATTATTGAATTTTCGA